ATCCATGTGCGCTTCTCTGGTACTGGCTGCAAATGGTAGCGAATCCAATCAAGGTGATGGATATGCATAACGATTTATACCACTTAAACATTTAGTTTTAAAACGTAACCATTTGGATACGTTCAGTTTTCTATAAGTATCATTAGGTATTCAAATATCTGCGGAGGCAGCCGAGTTTACACACAGGGCACAAGAGTCGGCAATCTGCAGATGCGGCATCTCGAGAATTTTTGTTTGAGGTACTCCGGTTGTAAAGCGTTCTAACCAGTGATCATTGAAATACATTCAGCCTACGTATGGGAACGCTTCGCTGGTCATTAAGTTTACGATATCTAGGAATTTTGACTAAGTCAATAACAATAATAAAGCATACCTACTTTATCTAAACGAAAGCTTTTATCACGAACATTTATAATCAGTATCTGTACTATAAAAAAAACTGCTCCTTCGAAAACTATTGGTAAAGAAAATCGATTATATCCGCCCATGAGCGGTAGTAATCCAGAAAAATCCTGCACGGAGCGGCTCGCGCCTGATTAAGCCGGCGCCCTCGGCGTCGTCCGCAGAAAGCCATGAATATGCAACGCTTTTGTGATACGCCCACGCTCAGTTGAATTTCGATAATACGAAATTCTAACGAAGAAATATTAACTTAAACCTATTGATAAACAGGTAAACAAATAGAAGCTTCAACAAATACGTGGCACAAAACGTTAAGGGCATGGCTGGCACTCACTGCTGGCATAGCACGGCAGAACGTGCCGCGGCGTGCCGTGCCATGACCGCTGTACAAGACACAACCTTATTTCAACTTGCTTAGCAATCATAATTCCTCAACACAAAGTGACGATGACGTGCCGTTTGCCAAAAGGCATCGCGGCATCTTGGTATTAAAATAAAGTAACATGAACTCTTAAACTCATTGAAATAAGATTCAAAGTAACTTGGTAAGTAATAAATCCTTGCCATGCCGTGCCGTACCGTGACGACAGTGAGCACTAGCACTAAGCCTTTAGACTTCGTAAGTGGAGGTACCAAAGGAGGGTCAAAGAGACACGCGTACTGCGGACTAGTCGACTATATAGGTTACTTTAAAATTTCGGACGTATATTGACATTAATTAAATAATTTTCTGGTAAAGAATGCTCGTTATCACCAGAGAAAGCTCTGGTTCAAAGACAAAAGGCTGAATATATGAACAAAAAGCAAATTAAAAAACCGGGCGCCTTTCAATCCGCTTTTTCATTAAAGCAAGAATTTGTAATTAATTTGTCTTAGAATAGGTATTTGCCTTTACAACCGGTTCAATTTAAATCATGGTGGTTGTGGTTGTACACAAGTGGTGCTTATTGCACAAATAGATGGAGACATTAGATACATTTCAAACAAAAACGAGATTGATTGTTATTTTAAAGTGACTCGTGTTTGCAAACAAACACGCTAAAGCTTGGAAGGCCAGATGTGACACACCTGGTGCTAAATGTTTTTATTTAAATTTTCGATTTAGCAAACTCTTAATGAGGTTGATATCAACTTAATTAGTTATGTAAACGGTAATCGAATTCACAATATCAAATTACCGAAACCATAAGTCTAAAGGCTTAAGAGGTGTGGCGTCATCGCAGCGAACACATTAACGATCAAGTATTAAAAACATAATATTTTAAATAAGTTTCCTTATTTGTATGCTTTTGTAGACAAACGGGACAGTTATATAGAAATAAAGCTCACAAAACTGATCATTTCGATCGTAGATATATTGATGCAACGGGAAACGGGTTCCATTTTTACACATATAGACAGATACAGACAGTCCCTGGTAGTGTAGATTACTAAACAAGCCCGGCTCGTATAGGGAGCTTATAACTTACTTTTTTGGATTGAAGATGTTAGTTTCGTGATGACACGTGCTACATACTCTCATTAGTCTGGTAAAATTTTAAAATAAAATTTCTAAAAATTGAGAAAAATGATACAAAAATATTGGTGGTGTTGGCATGTCTAGACATGACTTTACGAAATGATGCACAAAGGTACTTTACAGTTTATTGCACTGTTGGCGCGGTGGCTGGACGACCGACTGCCGCGCAACGTGTCGCGGGTTCATTCCCGCACGGAGCAACTATTTGTGTGATTCACAAATTGTTGTTTCGGGTCTGGGTGTCATGTGTATGTGAACTTGTATGTTTGTAAACGCACCATACGTAGGAGAAAATCCTAGTGCGGAGCAACGTTTTTTTTTTTAAATAAGAAAACATATACCAACTGGTAAAGAAGAAAATGGATCGAAGGATAATCGTCGGTATCCACAGATTTACAGATGAAGTGCTTAAAAGTGTTTTCGTATCGACTCGCTGACTTTTCGCTTGTAAGACGCGGCGGGAAATTAAACGTCTGTCATTGGCCTTTTTTTTTTTTTTTTTTATTTTTTTAAGGGGGGAAAATCATCGAATGACTGCTCCCGCCTGGGTGAGGCGGAAGGGAGTGTCAGACTCTTACTGACTAAAAACCACCCCGTTCCTTCTCCTGCACGTCGAGCCGGAGCCCCGGTTACCCGTTAGGTTCTCCGCGACGTCTGTCATTGGCCTAAGGACGCATGACACACAACTCCATTGGAGCAAAGAAGTGACTAATTTCCCGTATTTCGTGTCGTGATGCTTTATCTTATCTATGACAGATAAGTTTGTAGTAGTTTCCGTTGTTTGTACCATTACTTGTGACGTACATATTTAAAGATTCTTTGAGTACCGAAGCAGTGGCCATTGGTTCGCTACTCAACCAACCAATGGTTACAGAAAATATATTTTAGTATAGTAGCTATTACTTATTATTAAAATATATTCTATTTTAATAGCTATTGTCTCTGTACTGAGTCGATCTTTATTTTAGAGGTATTATCTGAATACTAAATAATTGTATTGACTGTATGTAAGTATGTGCACTGTCAGTGCATAATCAAACTAATTTAGACGTAGGTGTCTAGTGTTAGACGACGAAAATCAACAAAATTAACGTCACTAGTTGAGTCTGTGCTACTGCCAGCATCAGCTGTCATGTTGACGCTGTCATCTGTCAAATGTGACAGATTAGTAAAGTTTCGCGCGCAAAGAGTTGCATCGATCATTCGGATTGGAATTTTGAACGACCATTAAGTACGGTGTTTAATAAAATAATCTATTTTAGAATAAACTTTTCGATGTCTAAATATTGAGTTGTACTTAAAAAGGACTATAAGTATATCCTGTATTGTTCACTTGGCGTGCGGTGAATAAGTACATTGCACCCAATGCATCTGCTAATGCTTACAATTGCGATTCAAATGTTCTTATTTCTTTGGAGTCAGGGCGAATCGCAACGCAGGCGTTGTTTCACGTCGGCTTTTTGTGAAGTCATAGTATGTGTCACTCCGGTCGAGCTGGTCCATTCTTGCCAAAGCATAGCTCTCCCACACTTGAATGTATCGTAGTGTAATCGTAGTTCAATATTTAGTTACCTACCCAGTACAAAACTGCCACATACAATTTTTTTTTCACTGCTGTAAGTTAAATTTGAGCAGCAAGAAAGTTGTTCTAAAAACTGGCACAAGAAGTAGTTCTTCCTAAAACTCCCTTATTCCTGATATACAAAAGACTTACCAATGAGTAGAGTATTTATCAACGAATAATTTTATGTACAAAACTTACTAAAAAAAGTTTTTTTCAGTGAGATATGCTAAAAGATGTGTGTCAAGGTAGTTATTTTATTATATTTTCAAAAATGTGGTATAATTTTTAAACCGTACATTGTCGCTGAACATACACTGATTTGTTTAGGTAGGGATTGATCCCAGCTATCACCCCTTACAGTACGGTGCACTATTTACTGGACACCCTGTATGTATGTACATATTATATATAACTAGCGTCTGCCTGCGACATTGTACGGCAATCCCTTTTCTTCCCGTTCCCGTTCGTGAATTTCAGTTGAAAAAGTTAAAAAGAGTATTATATAACTATTATTTTTTATAATTGGTTCGGAGCCTCTTCATCAATTTTCATCCCAATCGAGTTAGCCGTTCTTGAGTTATAAATAGTGTAACTGACAGGTCTATCTTTTATATAGATAGACTTTTTTTTTAAGGGGGGAAAATCATCGAATGACTGCTCCCGCCTGGGTGAGGCGGAAGGGAGTGTCAGACTCTTACTGACTAAAAACCACCCCGTTCCTTCTCCTGCACGTCGAGCCGGAGCCCCGGTTACCCGTTAGGTTCTCCGCGACTCCGAATCGCCATCGGCCTTATTGGGCCCCATCTGAGGTGGTCTGATGGCTCGTTGAGGCGTACGCTCGGGTCTGTTTCTGGTCGGACGGGGAGCCACCCATGCTCGCCTTCCGCAATATAGATAGACTAGCTCACCCGGCGAACTTCATACCGCCTAAAATATTTTATTTTATTTTTTCTCACCTTTAAACCTTCCCAGGACTTCCACGAACATTTCAAGACCAAAATTAGCTAAATCGGTTCAGCCGTTTTCGAGTTTTAGCGAGACTAACGAACGTAAATGCATTTTTGTTTATATAGATTATCTAAGTAAGTATCTAAATACATATAACTAGTTATTAATTAGTCACCTGCCACTCTCGGCACAACCTAAAGGTCGACTGTTAGACAATGCCCAAGGCATTTAGTCCACCTGTACATTTGTGAACATTTTGTACTAAGTCTAAATAATTAAAAAAAAACGAGAATTACTAGAAAACCCCCCAAACCCACAAGATTTTTTATTGTCGAATCTTGTATAAGTATTATGTGCGTGGGTCGCCACACCAGGTCTGAAGAGTTAGTATTTTGATAATGTGAATGCCACTTTTAGATGATTAAAGGATGCACAGAATTCCAAAATGTCTGTTAATACGAAATGTATTGTTATGAATCTCGGGCGTGCGTCGTTTGCGATTCATGCATTCCCAGCAGTGGGTGAGCGCGTCACTGTGCTTCCTGTGCGCGCGACCTCTCACCTCGTATGCGTGTGCTCGCCAGCCAGTGCTCTTCCAGCCGCAGCGGCCGCAACATGGCCGCGGCTCTCTCCAGCTCCGTGTGCGTACTGCTCGCCGTGCTGCCGCTGCCGCCGCCGCCGGTGGAGGTGAGTACACACGCACTGCCCAGCCCGCTACACACACACACACGCTCGAACTAAGCCCCGGGCGCTTGTTGCAGGCGGCAGTACCAGGCACGTTCTTCTGGAAGCCATCAACGGATCTTGACTTTACACGAAGGCGTAAGTTCATATAGCAATATATGTCATTTTAATTTTTTCCTTGATTAACTCCTTCGTTTTATTTTGACTGCCTCGTTGGCCGCAAGTGTCGCAAGTGCGAGTGCCGGGCAAGGTTCAATTCTCGGATTGGGCAAAGTATTACTGGGTTTTTAAAAATCTCAGTAGTAGCAGCACGGAGTCTGGAAATGTGCCCGGTATATGGCAATTGGCTCACCCCCTATTACATGGGACTCATAACATAAATAGTGAAAAGTGGATGTTACATTATACAGTGGCATTAAGTGCCGAAATGTGCACCTCTGCCTATCCCTTCGGGGATAAAAAGGCGTGATGTTATGTTATGTTATGTTTTATTTTTACAGAAATAAACCCTGCAAATAGGAACCCAACAATTCACAAACCGACCGAATGGAATTTTGGGTATAACAAGCAAATGGCGATAGCTATCGACGGTTACAGATTATCAACCACCTTAATGGCGATATACGTCTACGTTGATTTTATGAACCGTGCGTACCCGGCCCTGCATCCCTGCTACGCGGACTATTGGACCAACGCGTACCGTTGGATGATCCGCTACCTCAGTCTGTGAGTGACAACATCTCTCCTCTGTCTATATTCGTTTATTTGTTTTATACTCGTGCGAAGCTAAGCAAGGCGCTACTTTCAGAATTCCAGATTGGATCCATGGTAGATCAGACAACTACGTGGCCACGCACAGGGTGTGGAGGAAGCGCTTCTTCTTTATGGATTGGTGGATGCCAAAGTGGGCACGCAAATTTTTTCTCTGTGTCCCGCCTGAATCCTGGGCTTGGGAACAATTCACATGGAGGAGATGGCGCAGATACGTTGAACCGCAATTTGGCAAATACTACATCTACCCCTCCAAGGTCTTTACAGACTTTAGATCTATGCAAAAAGGATCAACCGTTGAAAACTTGGATATGAGCTCTGCCTCCTTACAGTAGGCCGTACGTGTACGTACATACATTATTTTTATGTATTTGATATTATAAAGTTAGCTTTTAAAAACTCTCAAGGGCGTATACAGACGCCGCCACCGCGCCGCGCCGCTTTATTTTACTACACATTGCTAGCTTCTAAGACCTGGTTCCTTGCGAGTAGCAATGCAAGCAATTACTAACAACTAGTAATGTAGTACTAACGAGTGTGTGGTGGTTTAGTAAAATGTTATCTTTGATTTATTTCGTTGCGGGATTTAAGATGACATTTGTACATACATGACATGTTGTTCATGTACTTGGGTCTTCAGTTTCGATGTTTTCATGGTTATATCTACAAAAGATCTTAGCTTAAAAGAGTTGCAGCTGTCTTTCTTGTCCTTGAAAAATATGTCGTAAACTGGTGTAAGTTAGTATATCTAAGTGATTTTCAGTGACCACCAAATTTGTATGGTCCGCTTCTGCGTCAGATAAAACTAGCCAAAATATTAGATTGCAGCCTGCCCCTATTGCATCAGACTCGTTATAAACCGCACTACCATCGCACCTCTTTGCCGTGAAGATTTTCACCTCTGCATCACCACCACGTTACCGCGTCTGTGACGATCATTAGGTAATTAAAAACGTTTGTTATGATCTTATTTATAAAATACTTAGGCTGCAAAAATCAAGTTAAGGCTCAATTCTCCCTCACTATCCCCAATTTCCTATCCTCAAAATCCTGATTAGGTGACTCGTCTGTTCGTTTGCCGTCCTATCCAATAAAAACAGAGTACAATCTCACAGTCACAGGGCTCTAGAAAGATAATGTGAGTTTCTCCAAGTCAACTATGAGTTTAGAGTGTATTTAAAAGTGAAGCAAAAATGGTCCTGTATGCAGATGATATTTTTTTAAATACCTTGGTTGACACAACGACGTAAAATAAATAAGTTCCCGTCTTCGACTTCATAATTGGTTCACTAATGACTATTTAGCGCTCAACCGCTCAATGAGAAAAAAGCCAAATGTATCTTTGACTTACTAATCTTATAATCAGTTTATTTTTATATAGCAGTAACAGTTCGAATTGTCAGTAATAGTATACAAATATGTGAGCATTATGTTAGAAACGATAGATGAATTTTGGTAACTTAATAGGTTCCCGGTTTATTTATTACTTAGGCTGCGTTTCCACAAAGCCTGAGCAGCGCGGAGCTGAGCACACCGTGGAGTGCGAAGCGTGCTCGCATACGGTTTATGTTTTTCAAGAATTTGTAATATCTCATAATGGAATGCGTAAGAGTATGTACTTATACAGTGGGGACAGATGCGCCTGATCATTTTAAAATTTTGTTGCTCGAACCCGGAAATAAATGAAGTCACACCCTATAAATGTCTCAACTAATAGAAAAGCGATAACGTCGCAGTTTAGTGATGCAACCTGTGTTATCCCTTAGTCAGAGGTGCGTTTGATGTTGTTCGGCTACCTGCGCCGCCGTAAACTCCGCCCACCACCCGCTTCATTCGTCCATTCAAGGTCATGGAGCAAGCAAACATTAACTTAGTGGTGGTGAGGTGGATGTGCCCCCATTGTAACAATAAAAAAATACATTAAACATTTAAAAACCCCCCGAAACTCCTGGATTTTCTAGCAAGTCCCCCAACGAATGTTTTTTTAGAATATTTTTTTACTTATTTTAAGTAAGCTTAGGTAGTTATGTTAGGGGGTGTTTGTTATTTGTTAATGTTTTTTTTTATTTTATATTTATTTTGACATTTCAATTGTAAGTCTGTATGTGATCTAATTGAATTAAATGCTTTGAACTTTACTTTTGATTTTCATTTTAGTGTGTGGCCAACCATGTATTGTTCCGTCACTCTGGTATCTTCACTTAGACGATAAAACACAAACAAAGCAATCGTTGTGTTACACTGGTTTTCTGTAAGGTTATCTAACACATATTACCAACTTTAACGTAGGTCTCATTTCTCTTAATAAGCATTTATACAATTTGGAAGATAATGTAGAAGATGAATAATAATTATGTACTTATGTACTTACGTAGGTACTGAGTCAGCCCTTATGAAATTACAGGACTTCAACCAGGTACACGTAGCATATTTCACGAGATGTGTGGCGAAACGACAACCTATCAAGTATAAAAAAGTATATTTTGGCTTTTTATGATACTGTTTGTTTAATCGACTGCACGGTTGGTGCGGTGGCTGGGCAACCGGCTACCGCGCAATGTGTCATGGGTTCGATTCCCGCACGGAGCAACACTTTGTGTGATCCACAAATTGTTGTTTCGGGTCTGGGTGCCATTGTGTATGTGAACTCTGAGGATACTGTAATCTACATGATTTTAGATTTTATCAATCATTTTACAACATCTCCTTCTGTTTAATGTATCTCTAAATCAGGGTACGACAACTTCCTGGAGGCTGGTCGACCCGTCCAGTTATTGTCAAGATAATGCCTTCATTGTTTATTTTATGTAAATATAATGAAGATAAATTAATAAAAGGCGTTTTATTTTTAATATTTATTGTTAGTACAAACACACCTTTGGTCCAACTTAAGCAATTATTTTAAATAAGTCTTCAAAATCAATATTTTAAGTTCTTCGGTGTTCGTCTTCCTTTTGTATGTCCTCATGGTTCTGGATTAAAAAAAAGGAAATAGCAACTCTTGCTTTTAGTTAAAACTAAAATAATCGGAGTTGGATGACCAACTTGTCAACTAGCTCCACAATCAAGATATTAACCACTCCAGACGCCATTTTGATTTTCAAACAAAAAACAACATGGATCGACAAACTTGGTGGGTACCAAGTATTAAATAATTTGTAATGCTGAAATTATATGTAGTATTAACGCGATTGTATGTGAAAAATGTGTCAAATTAAATATTTACTTACGGAATATGATTTTGCAAACACTCGGCGCCACGAGGCACTGAAGGGCACGTGGGAAGTGTTGCCTATGCGGTCGGAGGGCCAAGCACGAATAACTATTGCATTCGTATCGTAACAGTATCGAGCGAGTTGAGCGTTCTGATTGGTTGGTTCACTTGAGCCAGCCAATCAGAGCGCCGAACGCGCTCGATACTATTACGTTACGAATGCGATAGTTATTCGTGCTTGACACTCAGATGACGCAATAGTCGTACAAAGTTATAATTATTGTTCGTTTGTCTGCCTACCCCTAAAGCCAACCAGTACTGTTCTGCCCTACTAGCGTGGGTGGTGAGTAGGAAACAAGCTACTTTCCCTGGTTTTACCCGCTGGTCGGCTCCTATTTAACACATCGTAATTTAATCCGTCAAACACCAAGCGGTCACCGGTGACCGCGACCTATTGTTCTTTAATTGTGTCTATAAAACCGGTACTCGACGAGTTAAAGCTAACTGTATTATTCAATAATTGCCCAACTGTTGTTTGTAAAGTGACAGGTATCTGTCGGCTGTCATAGACATGTATTTTTTTTTATTCTTCTTTGGCAATGGAGTCTAATAGACATGTAAACAGTCTTATATTCTTATAATGGTGAGATTGACAGATACCCGTCACTACAGTAATAATCGACAAATCAAAATGTTAAGGTAGATGAATCAAGAGTTAAAAACTTTACCCTCATCTGTCTTGGTTGGCAGTTATGATTTTGGTCGGCACTTGAATTTAAACCGTTGAACAGAACGATGATATGTTTATTGTCAAAATTATATCGAAGAATATCAAATTAATCATCGTTTTATGTTTGAGTTGAGATTGAGATCTGTTGAGATTGAGATGTTTGGTAGCCCTACTCAGTAGACGGATATTATATAAATGAAAATCTCTGAAATAAATAAGTTATTAAAATATAAAAATAACACGTATTGAGATTTTCGACATGGTAGGTTGATACTTGGTAAAGTGATTTCACAAGACTTTATTTATTTATTTACAAAACACAACATTACAGCTTACGCCATTACGTTATCTTATGAAAGTAAGGACTTGAAAACAAAAAAAATTGGGTAAGTGAATACGAGAAATAAAAATTAATACAATTCAAAACAAAAGATATAGAATGAAATATCAACAGAAGTAAAAAGTAATTTGAACCTAGCACAAAATATAAACATATCTTAAAAAAATACATTATAATAACCTACTACCCATGCACTCACAGAACCTGAAACATTCACAACACACATCTATCCTTCTCATTGCAAACACATCACAATGAGTCTCTCTGTGAAATGTTAAAGACTACGTGTTATATCAACTCCTTAAGTTTGGCCCATTATTTCATGGACACTCTGTACACTAACACAAAAATAATACAATAGAAAACAAACAAATATACAACTAATTAACTAAAGGTAACATAAGAAAAAAATAACAAACAAACAAAAAAAATTATAACAATACAATGCCTTGTTACACGTTACAGCTGTGTTACAGGCGGGCCCAAGTGAAATCTAGAGTCGATTAAAATCATTAATGGACAGTTTAAAGGACAGTGAATAGCGTAAATGTAACTGTTTTTTGACATACAACAACATGAACATGTTTGTTACTAGATTAATGAAAGCGACGAAAAATACAGATAAGAATTTAGATTTACGACAGTCACAAGCAAACCTCTTAAGCCTATAGGATTTTCCTAGATTGTACATACATCATCAGAACATCAACAAAATCGCAAATAATTGGTACAATGTGATAAAATACATATTGACAGACTGTTAAATCTATGGAAATATAAACTGGTCACTTTTTTATTACTTGCTGATGGTTTCATTGAAAACAATCATTGAATTTCGGATATATGTACTTTGTATACTGTACATTGCCTCATATATAGGTTTTGAGCATTGTCCTTTCGTCATGTTATATCTGTTATGTGTATCTTCAGTATCTACAGATCTATGTGGTGAACAGTGCACCCGAATGGTGCATCGCAATGTTATATCTAACTTTATTTTTACTTTACACTCGGTTTTCCTCCTGTGCAGTGGTCGTAGTCGTAGGTGCGTTTACAAACATCCATATTCACACGCGGACAGTTGTTCCGGGAATCGAATCCATGGCACGTTGCGCAGAAGTCCGTTGCCCCGCCACTGTGCCAACCGTGTAATCCAAATATTGTGAAGTCATAGTAAATTAAAGCTTGAATGAAACAATGTACGGAGTGCGGCTACACTACACACATGTCGCGGAGAACCTAACGGGTAACCGGGGCTCCGGCCCGACGTGCAGGAGAAGGAACGGGGTTGTTTTTAATCAGTAAGAGTCTGACACTCCCTCCCGCCTCACCCAGGCGGGAGCAGTCATTCGATGATTTTCCCCCCTTAAAAAAAAGCACTACACACATGGCGGCCTAATCTTTAGACACGGTGCTATCATCTAACTGTTCGAAAGTTTCATATGGCCTCATGGATCTGTAATTATCGAAGACTTTCGATGGGTATATGTAGAATTTACCCCACTGTGTCTGGGCGAACTTCTTGTATATTTTCCAAACTAGCTCTTCTTTCGCGAACGTTAAAGGGTGTACGCAAAACTTAATTAAATAGGGCCGAACCCAATGAGGAACGAATCTGTTCAAATAAAAGTAGCGCTTCCTCCACACCTTGTGCGTATCTATGAAGCTAGTCTGGCCGGTCGCCCATTCTGGAAGCCTGAAAGTGGGATAAGTTTTTACCCAATTCCTCTACAACTAGTTTTTTTTAAAGATACAGTGATTGAAGTATAAAAATATTATAGGAAAATAACATTTCTGATCTCAATGCCATCTTTTTCGTGTCTAATACCAAATAGATACTTTTCCTTCTTCCTTCACCTAATAGTCCGATAATTGAGTAGGAAATATGGCGGTTACTTGAAAAGTTTTCAAGACATTCCAGGTAGAACTACCAAATTACTGAGCTATGCTTCGACTGCGACACGAATGGGCCGGCTCGACCGGACTGATACCACGGCCGGGCAGAAAACCGACGTCGTGGTTCGTCGTGTGAGTGAGGTTACCGGTGGCCCAATTACCAATCATAATTACCAATTATTACGGAGTCAGGATTTGTCCCTGGTATATGGCAATAGGCTCACCCCCTATTACATGGGTCCCCCCCAACTACATTGTACAGTGGCACTATGTAAGTGCTGTAATGTGCAATTCTGCCTACTCCTTCGGGGATAAAAGGCGTGATGTTATGGGTATTTTTGTTTCGCAATGTTTTGCAGTTAATAACTGTTTTCATGGTGTTTCCAATTAATTAGAGTAGTCCAAACAATAACCATACTGGGACAGAATACCTACAGTATCAAGACCACCTTGTACTATTTTGATTTGTATTACATGAATGAATAATGTGGAAAAAATAGTTCTTCGTATTCTATAGGTTATAAAGTACGGCTACTGAAAAAAAGTACGACAAGGGCAGGGACCAAGAGTCCGTGAAGAATTAATATGTAATGCAACATTAAAAAAAAAATACGGCTGCGTCGTCGCGTACATCGTTTGCCAGCCCTGTTGTCATATGACTTTGTGTTTTACTTAACTGCGCGACAAAGGGTTGGTTTTTAACAGTACGAGAATGTCTAGGAGCTTAGAAAATTGATAATGCGAGTGAAACTTACGTTTTAAGGTACCGATATAACCAGCGGTACGCGGTGGTCCAGTAGTCCGAATAGCAGGGGTGAAATTGCGGGTAGGCATCACCAAATACCTCAGCGTACTTGAAAATTGTCAAAATCGAAGTAGTTAGTTTGAACCCATAGATGACCACCGCATAACCTTGTTGAAAGTTCTTCTCAGTCGGTTTGTTATTTTTTCTGATGTTGATTACCGTTATTGGCTGAATATTTTTTTTTTCTGAGGATAACATAAGTGCGTAGTGAATCACAAGTACGGTAAGATACAATTATAATAGTTGTGTAACTGGCAACTACAATATTATTTCTTTCGTGCTAGCTATTGTTGCGCGGTTTTACCCGCTCTGCTCGGCTCCTATTGAACGTAGCGTGATGTTCTCTAACCTAAACTTAATAATAGTAATTATATAAAGCTGAAGAGTTTATTTATGCGCAACTCGGCCGATTTCAGTGCATTAATCGAGGAAGTTTAGGTAAGGTAAGATAATAATTAGCTTCTGCCTGCGGCGTTGCCCGCGATCCCGTACGATGTATAGAACCTTGTGTGTTATTCCAGACCACAATCTATCCTTGTTGTTACAAATTTCATCTCGATCCCTTCAACCGTTTTTACGTGATTGAGTAACAAACACACACACACACACACACAAACACTAACACACAAACTTTCACATTTATAATATTAGTAAAAAGTAAGGTACGATAAGATTATATCACATACAAATAAAGTTTAATGAACTTACTGTTTTTCATAGCGTTCAAATCATATTTTTTGTTGTAATCGTCCATTGCTTGTTTTGCTGCTGCTGCTCCTGCTCCTGGATCCCCCGCTGATTGTCTCTGAGTTCGCCGATTCCAGAAATATGTGCCTGGTTCTGCCGGCTGCAACATACGCCTGAGGGTTAGTTCGAGCTTGAGTGACACACACTCAGCAGCGGGCTTGGCAGTGCGCGCAGTATTTGTGCACCATATATGTAATAAAGAAGATATGGTGTAGAGTACAAAATGTAGGAATCGTAGTAATTGGCGTTCCCTAGTCTCTGCCTACCCCCATGGGAGACAGGCGTGAAGTTATGTATGTATGTATGTACAAAATGTGTGCAAAACCGTTGCAACCACAATTGCCCCTCCATAAAAGTAATATTGCACACACAGTTCTGACAAAAAAAATATTTACTACGAACAAGTGCACACACGCGCCATCGATAACTTAGTAATTCAAATATATGCCTTATTTTTTAAATCACAGCGCATATTCTCGTATTTTTTATGGAATAGGAAGCAAACGAGCGGACGGATCACCTGATAGTAAGCGATTGGCGCCGCCCACAGACACTCGCAACATTACAGGCGTATTTCTTTTTAAAAAGGAATACGCTCTCTTTTTTTGAATGTTTGAAGGTCATATCGGTTCGGAAATACCGCCGACGACAGACCCTTCCACAGTTTTTGCATAGCCAAAAAGTTACGTGAGAAGCGTGAATGCAGTTGTGGCCTGCCAACCATATATATGATAGGGATAAATATGCTGTCGTGATGGCGTAAAGGTGCGGCAGGTATCAGGTCAAACAATTCCGCAGAGTATGTACGTATGAGTAGTAGTATAAACGATAGAAAAAGCACAACGAAGCTACATCTGTACGCATTGCCAGTGTCTAGCCGGTTTGAAACTTCCCGACATCCAACAATCCGAGCGGCACGCCGCTGAATGCGGTTCAGGAGAAGAAGCTGGTATTGGGGTGCTCCGGCCCAAAGATGAGAACAATATTCCACGTGGGACCGAAACTGCGCCTTCTATACAAGTAGGCGGTAGGTTGGGGTGACCGGGTGAAATACTGGCTCGATCTATTGAGCACACCAAGCTTCCTCGAGGCTAATTTGGCCTTATCCTGTAGATGACCGCGGAACTGGACGTCGCTCGAAATGCTGGCACCAATTATTCCAATACCGGCTGAGGCAGTTAGGGGGGTCCTTTGAAACTGAGAAGAGATCAACGGCAGTTACCTCAATCAGAGATTCTCAATAGGTCTCTAAAGGGGTCTCGATTTCAGACACGAGTCTATCTCGGCTCTCTGACGTTTTCCCGAGAAATGTCAGCACGGCCGGTGTAGTAGGCATCGCCTGTGCTGTCATCCGCATAACAATGAATGCCGCTGATTTGCAGCATGTCATTGATATGAAGGAGGAACAATGTAGGCGATAGCACGGAGCCTTGAGAGACGCCTGCATTTACAGACAGTGAGTCAGAGCATTCACCGTCGACAACAACCGTAATGCTTCTGTCTGCAAGGGAGCAGGAGACCCATTCACATAATCTTGGGAAGCCCGCAGGAAGGAAGGTTCGAAAAAAGCGCTCTATGCCAAACCCGATCGAAGGCCTTCGCCACGTCCAAGCAGCTGACGATCTTCTAAATAACGCAGAATCTGGGAGTTAATAATGGACTCCATTATTTTCGAGAAGAGGGAAGTTATGGCTATCTGTCTGTAGTTGGACGGATTAGATTCACTATTTCTAGGGATAGGATGGACTAAAGCTGTCTTCCATGACGTCGGAACTGAGCCTGAAGAGTAAGAGAGCCGAAAAATCGTATTAGAACTGGAACCAACTCAGGAGCGCAGATCTTGAAAACAATGGGTGGGATTCCATCAGGCCCGCTCGACTTATGTGTCAGAGACATTGTAGAACATACTTTTTTAAAAAGAGTAACGAATTGAGTTTCTTGCTCGTATTTGTTGACGTTTCAAAAGTACCAAACTATGGTTTAATTGAAATAAATGCTTTGACTTTGACTTTATGGACGCCAAGGGACAAGAGCGCCAAAAGTACCGAGCGCTTGTGGAACCGGATGTCCGGCATATACCTCCCGCACTCGCACCACGGCACGACGCGCGGCTCGCGCTTACCATCATCCAGGGTTGAGTTGGACGCAAAGATTTTCCACAAAAATTGAGCTTTATCGCTTTCGTCATGAGCCAAAGAATCCCCACCCATGTGCAGAGTTGGAAATAACGGTCTGCAGAAATTGACTTCGATAGCTTTGGCGAGCGATCAGAATGCACGAGTTCCTGAATGAATGCGCTCAAGCTCAATTCCGGTCCATACCCAGGGTATGTGAGGTAGGATGTGTCCAACTGAGATGATATCTGCGTCTCAGTCAAAAAGAGCAAGGCCGGCTTTGTTGTCTCTGGTGGTGATGGACAGCATTAAGGTTGGTGTGTAATCCCCTGATGTTGCAGAAGTCCACGTTCAGCGTGCTAGGGGGTGCCATAGTTGTTTTTTTGCCCTCCAATGCCCAGTTTTGCCCTCCCCAGTGTACGATGTGGGGCGGCCTGGTTGTCCACGCTCAGGGTAGTTGAGCTCTGAAAATGGACGTAAAGAGAGGCATTCTCCAACGTAGTTGGTACCCTCGTAGGGTAAAAAGTCTGTTGTCAACTGCACCATTATGAAGGGGGACCCCGGGGATTGGGCCTCCGGTACCCTCATTCACTCGGTAAAACACAGCGCAAGCGCAAGCGCACCTCCGGTCGAGCCGGCCCATTCATGCCGAAGTATGGCTCTTCCACGGTAATTCGTATAAATTACTCACACGAAAACAATTTATCATTGTGTGCTGTGTGCTATCACTGTGCTAAATTGTTTTATTTCTGCAGGAAACAATAACTGTACAAGAAATGCCGTTTATCGTTTTGTGGTACGATCGCGGTTGACAACAGACTGACTTTCGGTAATGGCCATTTTTTCCAAGATTGAACGAAGCGCTAAAGCGCAGGCGACGCCGACACGCGCCCATGTCACTTCTGCTGTTTTTATTATTTCCGTGGCGTGTTCTCACCTCCACCGGCGGCGGCGGCAGCGCCAGAATGACAAGCAGTACGCACACGGAGCTGGAGAGAGCCGCGGCCATGTTGCGGCGGCGGGGACTGAACGAACACTGGCTGGCGAGCACGCGCATACGAGATGAGAGGTCGCGCGCACAGGAAGCACAGTGACGCGCTTACCAACTGCTGGGAATGCATGAATCGCAAATGACGCACGCCCGAGATTCATAACAATACATTTCGGTTAATATTCTTAATCATTTTTTAGTTCTGTCGTCGATCAGAACCGCTACACAACTTAAAGTGTCAATCATATTTTTTTTTATGGAATAAGCCTGTAAACGAACGGATCACCTGGTGGTAAGCAATCGGCGTCGCTCATGGACACATGGAACACCAGAGGCGTTACAAGTGCGTTACCGGCTTTTTGGGGATTAGGAGTTTGAGGATCGATGGGGATTCAGGGATTGGGAAGATTAGGGGAAGGGGAGGGTAATTGGGCCTCCGGTAACCTCACTCACACGACGAAACACAACGCAAGCGTTGCTTCACGTCGATTTTCTGTGAGGCCGTGGTATCACTCCGGTCGAGCCGGCCCATTCGTGCCGAAGCATGGATTGGAACGACATTTTTTATAGATATAGTAAAGAAGGAGATATGGTGTGGCGTACAAAATGTATGCTAAACCGTTGAAGCCACAATTGCCCCTCCATAAAAGTAATATTGCACACACAGTTCTGTTAAAACAATACTAAAAACAAATGCACACACACGCCATCCACAACTCAGTCATTTAAATGTAAGCCCTATTCTTTAACCGACAGCGAATTTTTTCGTACGATTTACTCTCATTAAAAAATTACTTACCTATCATTGTGTGTTGTCGGGACTTGGCGCGTTCTCTCTTTGTCTCGCGGGACTCGCTCTCTCTTTGTCTCGCTCATACAGCGGACCTGCTTAGCAGCGGACGCACCATGCGACATTGACATCGTGGCTTGCTGAGCGTTTCGATATGTCAGTTTTACATTGCTAGTTTATTGCCTCAGTCCCCGACAGAGGTCGTTGTGAAAGAGCAATGTATTTAATGCAAACATACAGTCCAAGTAGTAGTTAATGAAAACTACGTTTATAAAACCGACTTCAGGAAACCAAAAAACTAAGAACAGTGGGTACCAGTGTACTAGTACGAGAGATGACGACCAAAATTTTTGTCTCATAGCAATACGGCCAAAACCGCCTCAAATCGATAGATACGATTATCCTGAACTCGAAAATACCAATATCAGACATTTTCCGCGTAGCGTTTGATCTGACCACAAAAACACCAGACAAAAAAAATGTCTCATAGCAATACGTCTGAAAACCTTTTTTATTAGTAAATTTTGGTTATTTGATGCGAACAAAACAATTTTCAGACGGAAATGTGAACGCATTAAATATTGAGACCGTTTTGAAAATGTTAACAAATTTTACCGATCGGTATCATGGCAATATGTCTGAAAATTGTTGGACATGATAAAATAAGTTGTCCACATGTGCAAATAATTTATATCAGACAAAATAAGTGTAGCACCTTCTCTATCAGACAACTTTTCGATACTCAGATACTTTTGACACAGCAGAAATGGCCTCCCACGCAGTTGCTACACTTTCGACCGTTACTACACACCTAGTCGGGTTCAGAATCATACAATCTAACGATTTTATAGGGTTTTTGCCGTATTGCTATGAGACATGGTTTTGGTCGTCATCTCTCGTACTATACCCGCTGTCCTTAGATGATATATGATTACAGGACAGTTCCTCTAATCATAAACTCAAATACAAACCCTATTACAATTTAAACTAGATTTGTAATAATTTAAGAAATTGCCTTGACCTAATACCCTTTATCTTCCAAGGAAGTTTTCGAACACGTACCGTAAAATGTTGGGATTGATCTGAGGTATAACCCCATACGATTGTGGTCGAATAACAAATCACTCTGTATAAAAATTTATTCAATGAAGTTATAATAGTTCCAACACATCATTTTGTTTCCGAGAAACAATTCCAGCTAGCTCAAACTAAATCTCAACGAAAAACATTCTTTAGAAATTACATTAATTCACAATATGTACCTGTAAAAAGCAAATAAAATATCTAACGTTTGTTTCGTAGACAGTGCTACGTGTACGCGTGGCTCTACGCAGACGTAGAGGCCATAATAGCTCCTGCAAGTGCAAACAGATGCAGACGAATTATTTGTATTTTCAAAATACACAGTTCCACCATTAAGATATATGAGAATGTTTGAACACGTTTGTACATTTTTTTTAGACTAAGTGAAGTCAAAAATTATAAAACGCACCTAGCTTTTTGGGGGGAAAGACAAAAGATTGTGGGATTTTTACCTCACTAAAATCCTCCCTGTGGCTTCCATCATCACCTATAGAGGGCTCGGGTCCTTTTATTGACCTACTTAGAAACACCTGACGCAGCCTTGTGTTACAGCACATTTCTAGGGAGGCATGCAACTTATTTAAGCCCCGCTGTGAACGGCGCCGCGGCAGCACGTGCCTACTGTGCTATCGTCTTCCCTGAGGTCACTGGGTGCCCACCTAGAGTCTCCACGCTCTGTCCGTGGCCCTGCATGCGGATTCGAATTCGAATTTGAACATCGGCGTAAACAAGACATTTGCCTCAATATTTTCTGCGAGCAAGATCGGCCTTCCTGCAATCCCGCTTAGCAGCCTCCTTTTGAAACATCGTCTCATAAAAGAAGTCCAATACATCAGTTAGTTATAGGTAAATGTTATAAAAATGGCACCAAAAAACAAATGACCGCGGAGGAGGAGGAGTGGAGACAATGGCTCGTTTTCCAATCCCGAATATGATTCAACATGGTCACTGCAGGTCCTTATAGGGACGCGTGACATCATGATGTGTGACGAAATGACCTTGTAAATGTGGATTCCTACAAGATACAAATAGAACGCGTTATGCTCAGTGGCCAGCAAGTCAACGTACTCCTTTCTGGCTTCTCTATTAAATGGTTTTATTCAGCTTGACCTGTTTGTTTGGTAGAAATTCAGTAATTGGAATTTTATCCCCTTCATGACGACAGATCGATCTGATTTCTGGTATTGTATGGCCATCAAGAGTGTGTCTCTTAATTTTGATGGTCATACAATATTACCTATAATCTATTTTTCCCACAACTACCCATTAATGGGTAAACCCAACTATTATGGATATCAAACGAAAGGGCTTGATTGGTAAAGTTTATTAAAACTGTTAAAAATATTTTATTAATATAAAAAGTGATGTATGTATTTCTTGTTTTAAAAGACTGCCTCGTTGGCCAAGTGGTCGCAAGTGCGACTGCCGGGCAAGGGGTCTCGGGTTCGATTCCCGGGTTAGGCAAAGTATAACTGGGTTTTTTAAAAAAATCTCAGTAGTAGCACGGAGTCTGGAAATGTGCCCGGTATATGGCAATAGGCTCACCCCCTATTGCATGGGACTCATAACATAAATAGTGAAAAGTGGGTGTTGCATTGTACAGTGGCATAATGTGCACCTCTGCCTACCCCTTCGGGGATAAAAAGGCGTGATGTTATGTTAAGTTGGTTTAATTGATTTTCAATCAGAATTTTAATGTTTCAAATAAAGTAAAAAACCCGATTAAAAATTTGACAGATTTGAGTAGGTTAATGATTGTACAGGAAGCGGCGTATTTTGGTTAACTCATTGATAAATCTACAAGATGTTGCTAATGTAAACGTATCAAAGTCGAAAAAGGCAAATACAAAGCATTTATTTCAATCTACTATATATTAATTATTTTGTCAAGGGGTACGGTAGACTCGATCGAAACATTACCTGAATAACAAAACATGAAATATATCGATTTCAAGTCGACAACATATATCTGCAAAATTCGGTTTACGGAGATTATTTCGTTTTATTAATGAATTTTAATGACACTGACAGACAATCCGCAGTCGCCATCTTGGGTAGACAATAAATGTTCCGTTTCATACTAGCTCTGAAATACACCTCGCCAATCAACACGTTGTCGCGTCAAAAAAGTATAAATTAAAAAGAAATATGAATAATTTCACGCGAAAGACGTTGCGGGTAACAGTTAGTTAATCCTTAATTACGCACTTTTGAAACGTCAAATTGATTTGTCTGGGAAGCTCGGTGCGTGGTCCAAAGTGTAGTTTCGAATGGAGAAGAACGAGCAAGAACCTCCATAGTTTTCGTTACTCTTTCCAATATTTATACTTACTCTTATCGAATATTTATTCCTCTTTTATTTGTTTCAGGTAAGCTAAGAGTGGATAGGTGAGCTGGCAAAGGTAATAATACAATCACCTCATCTGAAAATCATTGGAAGAAGCCGATGTTCAGCAGTGGGCGTCTTTTGACTAATGGCGATGTTGAAAATTGTATGGAAATCTAGAGATACTGATGGTATCTTTAGTTTTTGAACTAAATTTTGCAGTTCAGTAGGTATGTAGTTACTCGGTTTTTTGTTTTAGAAGTTTTAGTTGTAGCCAATAATTGTCATGCGGCTTGTACATTCGTTCGCACAAATGGGGTGGTTAACAGTGTATAAAAATTAAAAATCGAATGGTTAACGCCGCCGGTAAGTTCGAATATGGACCGGCGCTTACCGACGGCATGCTTCCATCCATACCGTGGCATTTTGCTGAAAGCCCGACAGTGAGCACCGGCCCTTAACGAGTCATTTTGTGGTTTTCGTTGAAATTATCAACATAACAATAAATTGATTTAGTTCAAATTCAAAATATAAATATATTGTCTAGAGAACTCGTGATAACCTTGAACAATAGAGGTTCGAGTTATCTCAGCTATGATTTCGGAATACCAGTTTTAGTTCAGAAAAGAAAAAAAACATGACATACATACATAACTTCACTCTCCTGGTCCTGGGGTAGGCAGTTAAAACAATAAACATACCAAGAAACATAAAATGTTGCATAAATTGTTTATTACTATTAAAATGTGGGATTATTACGCTAAATATCCGCCTTGGTTGTAGTTCTGGCCGTAACCTGATTGTCCAGCGCCATAGTTGTTGTGTCCATAAAGGTTGTGTCCGCCTTGGCCGACCTCCATGGCCCCTCCGACATCGTGACCAGAGGACTCGTGGTGGTGAACCTCCTGATGGCAAAAATAACCAATTAATACAAAGTCCTATTTTGTAGTGCTCTATGAACCAAAAATCTTTTAACAGTCTGTGATTCATACATATTTATTATGTCCATAGGTTAAATTAAAAGCAAAGTGTGTTATAGTAAGATTAGACTATTATATCAGACTAAACTGAGATTTCCAATCTGGACGGTCAGTATAATACAGTTCAGCTCAAATAATTACCTGACTGAAGTCGCTCTCATGATGACCGACATCATGGCCTATGTTCACTGCACCACCACCGTAACCGCTATTGCCGTAGCCCCTGCTACCACCAGCGTAGCCGGATTGGCCGTAACCGCTGCCTGATCCGTAGCCTTCACCCACCCCTAGGCCCAGGCCTCCGCCTAGCCCGCCCAGTCCGATACCTCCACCGAGCCCGCCAATACCGAGACCTGCAATAAATTCACAAAATATTTTTAAGGAACATAATTATATTCCGCCAATTTCACTGTATGTGCAATAAAGTTTAATAAATAAAATAAATAAATAAATTATATTCCTTTCAAGACCTTTCCGGAAAACCTTCTTTGGACTTCATTTTTATTTATATAGAATTGTGGAATACTACTCTTTCCCGCGTCGTGGGTGCTTTTACAAATATATATATACAATGGCATTTAGGCCCGAAACAACAATTTGTGGACCACACAATGTTAGGCATCAGCCAGTTGCCCAGCCACTGCATCCTGTGCAGTTAATGATGATAATAAATTACGTAAATGTGAGCATGTACCTTCAAGTCCGGCTCCAATCCCGGCACCAAGTCCAGCTCCGATGTTACCAAGGCCGGCTCCAAGGCCAGCTCCTACTTCACCAAGACCAGCTCCTAATTCACCGAGGAAAGGCTTGGCGCTGGCGACCGCCAGGAAGGCCAAAACGGCGACAATAATCTATTGAAGTAAACAATACAGAATTAGACAATAGAGCCTACAGACAACACGCGAGCGCAGTGGATCAGGATACATTAGGATGTGAGGGGGTACTGGGGGAGACAACTTACCATGGACTTCATTGTTAGTGTTGTATCGGAGCTGTGCACACAATGTCCACCGCTACACCGCGTCCAGCTTATATACCTCAACTGTAACAATCAATAATATGTAATTAACGACGTCTTAACGACCTGGGTTGACCACTGTATTACATAATGTACTCGACTTTTGGGAATCCTGTTTAAATTGTCATGTTTAGTAAATTCCTATTTAGTTAATAGTTACAAATAGCTCGGTTACAAATAGTGAAGCGTTACTGAAGAATTTGTGACGTTGACCTGACGGATCTGACGGGGTTGTTTTTCCAATATATGATTGTAGAGGTAGTTGGCAAGTGTTTGTTGACTGCGTTAAATGTTCAAATGTGTGGTTTTTGTAATTTTAAAGACATTATCAAGCATTTGACGCATTTTCTTTGTTATATATGCGAAAGTTTGTATATTTGTTACGCCTTTACGTCAAATCGGTATGAATAGGGGTAGATTATAGTGTGGATAGGCTACTTGATGTGCATAAGCTACTTTTCATCCCGCAAGAACGCGGGCGAAGCAAAAGCTGTTACATGAATATAAAAAACCATTTCGCGTTTCTAGTGTTTAGAGTGTGTTGTATATAAAGATTTGACTATTACACATGTCGCGAGGTAAACTAAATAGGAAATTTATTTGGACAGAGTATCTGAATCCATTCATAATGAACCTTTATAGGCGGCATCTATTGACCTGTCCATGTCGAGCCTTTACAAAAATCTTCAATAACCAAAAAATATTAATTGAATGACATCCAGCCTCTATTGTACGAGGAAAACAGAGCAGATTTCTTTGCTGATATTAATTAAAGCTGGGACAAGCCGCTATTATTGAATTCCCGTGTAATGAATAGTTAACAAGACTGCCTGCCCCGCTGTGGCCAAGGGATTAATTTACTGGATAAAATGTACTGGTATTTTATTGAAAATTCTCCTAGCTCGGCTCTCCTATGTTGAAAGTATTTTACTAAGTCTAACTGGCCATGTATCAGCAAATAGTTGAGCAATAGAGAGTTGCAGGAATTAGGTTGTATTATCAAAAATATATTGAACACATGTGTTACCTCTAAGGTATTTTAATTCACTCTTTTTACAATATTTTAATATTGTTTCTGCTCTCAGTGCTTCCCTGAATAAGGCAAAAGGCCTGAAATTAGGCAAGAAAATAACTGATATTTTTTGCGCAGTCAGTTCATGAATGTGTTTTATGTATGAGGCATGTAGCAAGGACATACAGAAGAATTTAATCATTCTATTTCCGTACACTACCGAATGTAGTCCAATCTTCAACTATCCCGCTGTATAATCATTTTGTATTGTCTGCATTCACACCAGTTTGTTTCACTGCACCTACGAAGCGATATCATGCGAACCGCTAAGGAATCCTCCTTGCCAGAGTCTGTGTTTCCCGACAAATATGACTTGGGTGTCTTCAAGTCCCGAGTGAACATATTGCTCATAGGTAGGCATGCTCCATCGTCGGCCACATCATCGTGCACCACCAGGCGAGATGGTGGTCAAACGTCGACCTATTAAGCATTTAAAAAAACCTAGTCAAAGTGGAAAACATTTATTTCAACTAAACCATACAAAGGTACTTTTGATATTGAGATGTCAAAACAAAATAGTCCTGTTTGTCAGTCAGTGAAGTTAGGTGCACGTATCAAAGTGTAGATTCGACTGGAGAAAAACGAGCAAAAACGTCTATCGTTACCTTTTTAATTTTAAAAAGCATATAAATCTCTGTTTTAAATATTTGACGAAAAATAAATGTTAGCTATCTTTAAAACTTAATGTGGTCCATAGATTCGTTGAAATATATTTTACTTGAACGACGAATTAATGTGGAGTTGTAGTATTTAGAGGTATATTGACTTATTCTGGGCTACTTAATGAATTGTAAATTATCCGCCACCAACGGGGATGCGTGCTATAACCCATTAACAGGCACGGACGTCAACGAGAACGATCCCGTTAGTATACTGATCGGTCTGTAAACATGTAAGGGCTATATATTAGTTAACAGTAGGTTAAATTAACTGTGGTGACCTTGGCTGTCAGTGTGTTTGTGTTAATTCTATCTCGCGTCGTGTCGGAGACCATTGAGGGGTCCGCTCGCTCGGATGACTCACGCGCAGAAATAGTAAGTATTGCCTGATGTGTACACAACAACACGTATGTAAACGTTATTATTTTACACCATAGTGTAGACCAGTCATGTTTCGGCACGAATGGGCCGGCTCCACCGGAGTGATACTACGGCCGAGCAGAAAACCGACGTGAAACAACCAAAGTGTTGTATTTCGCCTGTGTGTGACGTTATCGGAGGCTTTCCCCTAAGACTCATTCCCAATCCCCTAATCTCTAATATTCAAATCCCTAACCTCAAAAGGCCGGTATTGGTGGTGTCCGTGGGTGCTAAGTACCTATTGGTTACCATCAGTTAATCCGTCTGCTCGTGGGCCTTTGTAAAAGAGTCATCTATACTCAATAGTAGTCTGGATTACTTGAAAACTACGGCTTATCCAAGTGAAATAATTGAGTAAAGCTCTACTGATTTCATATTCATTTGCGTCATATAGGTGTCATTATAATGATTTTACTATCCATACAAAAAAAAAATGACAGTCAATATTTTAAGCAACCTGCTTACTGCGATGCATGCTAGCGACATGTTAACCGACATTGTATTAACTTGAAGATATAAACATGTTTATACATAATAGCATGATGATATTTATTTTTTAATAATGCACCTAAATTGGCTTACTTGAATGTGGTCAGTTTATTTATGTTGCATCAAGACAGGTTACAGCGGCATGCATGATGTCAGCGCTGACGAATATTTGAGGTTTTTATTTGGGTCAGCGCTGACTTGTATTAATTTTAGAGTCAGTTACTGTCCCTTTGTAAATCGGAAGCAGATACATGTACCCAGGCTAAGTAATATTATATTACTTGAATTCTAATGTAGCACCCACAGCATTCAGGTTCAAAACCTACTAACGGCATGTACTAATGTGACTTTTTCCGAGTTATATGTACTTTCTAAGATTATTCAGACACCACTGACAAACAGTGAAGGAAAACATGGTGAGGAAACCTAGGCTTATAATTTCTAATTATAAGTTTGAAATCACCAACCCGCATTGAGCAAGAGTGGTGATTAATGCTCAAACCTTCTCCGTGTGAAAAGAGGCTTTGCTCAGCAGTGGGCATTTATAGGCTGTTGATTATGATGATGATGACCCACAGCATCGAACTGCCTCTAGATCTGTGTGTGTACTTATAACCATTCTTTGTCAATTAGCTAGGAAGGTACCACTAACAGAAAACATGTGCTGATAACGTATACGATTTCGTTTATTTTACTTGTGTTGATACCATTATGGGATCGTTGACACGATGCTATAAATATGTCTCACCTATAATATTATCTTTGCTAAGAATCCGCTCAACACATGACCAAAATATTATAACACAAATATTATACGATCGTCAATTAATAGTATACTTTAAATTAAGTATGTTACGGTTTTAATTTGTTTGGATGTTGTGGTGTTAGAGGGTAACATACTGAAATGAACTTTAAGTTGCAGAATATAAGGTTTTTAATAGTAGGTAAATTATGTTTGATGTGGTATTTTTAACCGTGAGATTTCAACAAATTGTTAACAATATTAATCCAGTGTGTGAACTGCTTCTGCAGACTTCTATTAATGTCAATACGAATGGATCACAGTGTTATTATTAAATCTATAATATTGTTTATTAAACAATGTTTTTTTTCTTGTATCGACTATTAAGTTTGGTTATATTTCCTCATTTCGATATGTGCTTATTATAGTTAAATTTTTACATTGTGGTAAATATTATGTTTTTGCTTTTCTAAAACGAAATCATAAATATCTGAATTCAGTAACGACAAAAGTAAAAAAGAAATAGAAATAGCTGTGATAAATTATATTTATTTATCAGGTTTGCGTTCTCCCGATGAAGTAGTTATAGTAAGCCTCCCAGACCCAGACCGCCCCGACCGCCACGTCCACCGAGCCCAAGACCAGCACCGATACCTGAAATAGTTATGAAACGTAAAATACTCATTTTGGTTTATGAAATGTCCTTGAAGAATATTTCATTGAATTGCATCAATTAACTCTGGCCCATTTTTAATCGAGAATCGAGAGTCGAATCAACACTCTCTTGTCAGAAGGTACGCTTACAATCACATTTTAAGATTTAGTTATTTGACATGCTATAGTTGTATGGGGAGTAGATGCATTATTGAATTGTTGATATATACCTTCAAGTCCGGCTCCAATCCCGGCACCAAGTCCAGCTCCGATGTTACCAAGGCCGGCTCCAAGGCCAGCTCCTACTTCACCAAGACCAGCTCCTAATTCACCGAGGAAAGGCTTGGCGCTGGCGACCGCCAGGAAGGCCAATATTGCGACAATAATCTGTTAAAGGGAACAATACAGAATTACACAATAGTACAGGCGAGCGCAGTGGATCAGGATACATTAGGATGTGAAGGGGTACTGGGGGAGACAACTTACCATGGACTTCATTGTTAGTGTTGTATCGGAGCTGTGCACACAATGTCCACCGCTACACCGCGTCCAGCTTATATAGCACAACTGTAGCAGTAGTAATTTCAGTCATTAATAATTAATGAGGTCTTTAGAACCTAGGCTGACCACTACAGGACGTAATAAACTGAACTTGAATTAGGCAATCTTGTTTGTGACGAGTTTGAATACTTACTAGATTTTGTGAAATACTGTGCTTTCAAAATACAGTACATATGCCACATTTAGATAACAATACTTTTAATCTTTGTTCAGAAAATCGAGGACGAGTCGAACGCACGCACGAAAGGTTTCGTGCCATTTTTATTGTTGTGCGTCTTGTGTTCTAAATGACCTAGTAGACATTGCTCTCGTCATATTTAAAATAGACAGTATTCATATCTCTCGAACACTGAATGAACTACCTCCCTAGTCAACCTTCCATTTATAACCAGCCACTCATTTTTTTTTCAGCAAAGATAGCAAGATTACCAGGTAATTTCGGTTAGGGCGACGCGCTCAAAGAACCGAAGTCCAACAACACAACAAAAATGTCACGGAACCATTCGTGCTTGAGTTCGACATGTCCCTGATTTTCTGAACAAAGATAAAAAGTAAATAACTATTGTTATCCAATGTGGTAAATGTACAATACTGTGTTGATATGATAGAATTTCTAGTAAATTTGGAAACACATCATAAACTGGATTTCCAAAATCAAGTTCATTACGTCCTGTAGTGGTCAGCCTAGGTTCTAAAGACCTCATTAATTATTAATGACTGAAATTACTAACTGTTACAGTTGAGGTATATAAGCTGGACGCGGTGTAGCGGTGGACATTGTGTGCACAGCTCCGATACAACACTAACAATGAAGTCCATGGTAAGTCGTCTCCCCCAGTATCCCTTCACATCCTAATGTATCCTGATCCACTGCGCTCGCCTGTACTATTGTGTAATTCTGTATTGTTTACTTCAATAGATTATTGTCGCAATATTGGCCTTCCTGGCGGTCGCCAGCGCCAAGCCTTTCCTCGGCGAATTAGGAGCTGGTCTTGGTGAAGTAGGAGCTGGCCTTGGAGCCGGCCTTGGTAACATCGGAGCTGGACTTGGTGTTGGGATTGGAGGTAAATACCACCATTTTCATAACTCTTCCACTCCCTACACAACACTTATCTTAAATATGAAGCGAATAATAACAACAAATAACTTTACAAAATGTGATTGCCAACGGGTCTATTAATAGACTTCAATAGAATTATTCTTCAAGGAAATTCCAAAATATTTGACTGTATGTGATGTTTCAGAAATCGGAGCTGGTCTTGGACTCGGAAGGCTTGACGGTTATGACGGTGGGCTGGGTGGTATTGGCCTCGGCGGTCGGGGTGGCCTGGGCCTAGGTTTCCTGTAATAACTTTATCATCAGATCCCAGTCTTTACAAATAAATGTTTTTACACATACTGTAATTTTTATGTTTCTCCTGACTAATAAATTGTTCATCATAATTTTAACTAACTTCTAGAAAGAAAGACTTTAGTTATTCTGTAAAAACTCTTGCTACCAAAGTAACGATCAATTAAGTTACTCCAAAAATTTTTCAAATTGTATTATCAGCTCATTGTTTATACTAATTATTTTTAATTTTTCTCGGTCCATGTCTGCGTGCTGTTTGTAACATAGTTTTTAAATATCTATAAAGTTAACTCGTCGAGTACCGGTTTTATAGGCACAATTAAAGAACAATAGGTCGCGGTCACCGGTGACCGCTTGGTGTTTGACAGTTTAAACTGCACAGATAAATCGTAAGGTGTGTAGCGTGCATTATAGCAGCTAATAGACGATATTTTCAAAATTTTAATAACGATTGGCTCGACCAGCCTCTAATGAAACTGGCGTAATTATGCGTGCGTTGTTTCGTCGTATGGGTCACGTTATTGGAGACCTATTCCGCCCCTTACCCCGAAAGCCACTGTAATGTTTAATTTATTTCTCTAGTTTTATTTTCTTGATAGATTGAAGTAGATGTTAAGATTGTAGAAAATCTACTTTTATGTGGACTCTGTGATTTTAAAAGTGACGTAAGATTTTTTTACGTTTTTCTGATAGCAGTTTATCTTTGCCGGTTACCTGGTGTTGGTTGAACGTAGAATTCTGATACATTATGTGTATAATGTTTATTTATCCTAGTCGATGAGGAGATTATTTTCTTTGCTGGAGTTTGCTTGTTCAACTCTTATGTCTTCATTCAACCTTGTAGACCTTGATTGAATCCTTTACTTATTATAGGATTAATGTCCGGGTGTAACCAATGAGCGAAGTGAAATTACAGGTTAAATAAATTAACTTTCAAATCTTTTTAAAAACAACCTCTTATGCAGCTTAGCATTTCTGCAAACTGAAAGTGTAAACAATCGGTTGAAGTTAAGATATCTGCTTTAAAATGTTGTTGCAAGGTTCCACTTCACACACGTACATACACTACATTCATATTTACATACATTGCAAGTTAAATTAAAACCTGTAATTGGTTTTAATACAGATTTATTGACATATTTTGATATGATTGGATACAAGAAGTAATTTGGTAATACCTACGTAAGAAGAACTAATACACCCGATCATAATAGCTCAGCTGTTAAGCTGTTTTAATGTTAAGTCAGTGTTCTTTCAAGAAGCTTCCTTTATAAATGAACATAAAAAAAGAAGACACGAAAGTGTGTAATAGGGAACAGGGAAGGAAAATTAAAAATAATATTAACAATGAACTGGTAATATACTTTGAAAAATATGCGGAATATATAATTTAGGTTATCGCAAACGAAGCTATTGGCGAGGTAAAGTGTAATATCTCGAAATGGAACAAGTTAAACTTACAATATATCTCGGAGAGAGTCAGAATAGTAGTACTTACTGCTTTCTATCTTTTCTACATATTATATATTGTGCTGTGTGTATTAATATCGTAAACTTGTACTTAATCAAGAAATTAAACACAAAATAATTGAACTCAAAATATTTATTTCTAAAGACTAAGATCTGTTGATTAAGTAGTTACGGTAAGCCTCCTAGGCCAACGCCACCCCGACCACCGAGGCCAATACCGCCCAGACCGCCGCCGATACCGCCAAGCCCTTTGAGGCGTCGCGGAGAACCTAACGGGTAACCGGGGCTCCGGCTCGACGTGCAGGAGAAGGAACGGGGTGGTTTTTAGTCAGTAAGAGTCTGACACTCCCTTCCGCCTCACCCAGGCGGGAGCAGTCATTCGATGATTTTCCCCCCTTAAAAAAAAAATAAAAAAAAAAGCCCTTTGAGGCCAAGACCGGCTCTGATTTCTGAAACATTACATAATAATGTCAATTATTTTGGTTCTCGAAACATCCTTGAAAAATATACCTGAAGAGTATATAATCACATTACCAGAGATGCTTAGATTTTCTGGGTTTCTATCAGCTAGGTATAATATTAGTCGTCTCAATTCCAAGAGGTTGGATGGGAAGTAGACATGTTAGTAGACATGTTATGGTAATTACCTCCAATCTTGGCACTAAGTCATCACCAAGACCAGCTCCTATTTCGCCGAGGAAAGGCTTGGCACTGGCGACCGCCAGGAAGGCCAAAACAATCGGTTGTAGGAAATAATACAGAATTAAACAATAGAACCTATAGCCAACAGGCGAGTGTAGTGATCAGGATGCATTCGGATGTGAAGCGATACTGTGGTAAATAACTTACCATTGACTTCTTTACCATTGACTTCTTTAATTATTATGTTTTCGGCTTACTCACGTAACTGTTTGAAGAGGAACTTGACTAGTTTCAAGCCATGCTAGAGGTCCATATTCATTAGCAGCCTTCGACTGGCAGCGTGATAATCCCCGTGTGTACGTTACGTGAGTAAGCCGAAAACGTAGTAACTAATTAGTATGTCTCACGAAAGTCTTAATATAAACATGGACTTCATTGTTAGTTTTACCGAAGTTCATACAAAAAAGTTCAGTGGTTTTAAAGATAGATAGTTCCGGGGCTTTATCACATAGTTCCCATTTTCCTTGGAATTTTGTGTTGACAAAAATAGTACTTCGTTTACCGGATCTCAAACTATGGTTATAGTGAATTTCGTTCAAACCGGTTCAGTGGTTTAAGAGATATGGATTCCTGGGTTTTTAACGCCATGGCCATATTCGTAAGATTTCCGGGATGAAATATATTTTCTGTCTTTTCCCGAGTCTCAGTGTACCTACCGTTGTAACAAACTTCATTGATTCAGTGCATAGAGAGTTCTAGGATTTTAACGCAGATGTTCCCGTTTCCGGGGATTTTCCTGTAAAAAGGTATCCTACGTCTTTTCTCGAATATCAAACTATATCTGTACCTAATTTCATCAAAATCGATTCAGTGGTTTAGGGGTAAAGAAGAGACAAAGTCGTATCGTGAGTGCTTTTCTATTTATATAATGTTTCAACCGTTGCGCGACTCTTATAACTCATAACGTGATGTTTTGTAGCGTAGTAATGCAAGAGTATAAGATTAGTCCACCTAAATTGGATTTAAGTCTAATGATAATACTCTAATCAGTTGTATACAGTCTTTATCTATGACTTGTCGCTATAAGTGTTTAATATGTATATTATATCTTCAAAATAAATGGATGTATATAGGAATATTCATCAGGGTTACAAATGATATGTAAATAGTTTTCCAATCAAAACATTTATTTGTGGAAGACTGGGAACTAGCATCTATCGATGAAGTGGTTATAGTAAGCCTCCTAGACCCAGACCGCCCCGACCGCCACGTCCACCGAGCCCAAGACCAGCACCGATACCTGAAACAGTACATAATATTAAACATTTTGGTTCCTGGAATGTCCTCAAAGCCAATGACAATGAACTCCGTGGTTAACCAAATAAATGGATTGAACCTTCGCTAACTATTTATGGATTTATTTCTTCTCTCTTTCTTTCAACTAATACTCAACATTTTAATTAGTCGCGCTAATCTCAGTAGGCTGAGACGGGGGTAGATAATTTGTGTCATTCTTAGAAAACAAAATCTCAACACAATTAGCCAGTTGCTCAACTACTGCAACCGGTGTAGTCAATGATGATAATGAATTACGTAAATGTGGGCATGTACCTTCAAGTCCGGCTCCAATCCCGGCACCAAGTCCAGCTCCGATGTTACCAAGGCCGGCTCCAAGGCCAGCTCCTACTTCACCAAGACCAGCTCCTAATTCACCGAGGAAAGGCTTGGCGCTGGTGACCGCCAGGAAGGCCAAAACGGTGACAATAATCTATTGAAGTAAACAATACAGAATTACACAATAGTACAGGCGAGCGCAGTGGATCAGGATACATTAGGATGTGAAGGGGTACTGGGGGAGACAACTTACCATGGACTTCATTGTTAGTGTTGTATCGGAGCTGTGCACACAATGTCCACCGCTACACCGCGTCCAGCTTATATACCTCAACTGTAACAGTTAATTTGTATTTAACTATCTAGCCTAACTACTGCAGCACCTAATGTACTCGACTTTTGGAAGTCGTCTTTTCGTGTTTGTATCGTGGTCTTTAGAAGTAGTATTTAAATTAGAGCGTACGTAAATGAAAAATTTTCTTTTTATCTGCAGCTATTCTGCAGCTGGAGGGTTCAATTCCCGGGTCGGGCAAAGTATTACTGGGTTTTTAAAAATTCTCAGTAATAGCACGGAGTCTGGAATTGTGCCCGATATATTGTAATAGGCTCACCCCCTATTACATGGGATTCATAACATAAATAGTGAAAAGTGGGTGTTATATTGTAGAGGTACAGTGGCATAATGTGCACCTCTGCCTACCCCTTCGGGGATAAAAGGCGTGATGCTATATATCTCTTCATCTGCAGCTACTCTTCTGCTGCAGCCTTTACCTTGAATCACCAGGTGTGAACACGATGAAATCATTATTACTTTAATTTTTTTAATATTATTCATAGCGTCCTTGACATTTTTGAATGCTGGTCACACGTGTATTATGTTCGTTTATCGTACTTTTGCACATTTTGCATGAAATTGTTACACATGCTGTCCGCACTATGGATGGGATGATGCTCCCTTTTAAATGCCCTCTTCTTGACTTATTATGAGTGTGGTGACGCTGTGGACTTCTTCTAATGGTGATAATAAATTACAACACTATATTTAGCTGAGCAATGCCATTTTTACATTGTGATTACCTACGTTTCTTGTTATTGTTTTCTTTTCATAATATTTTTTGTTTCTTCGCTGTGCAAGTAAACTGTTTTTCTTTATTTCATACGAATTATCGCTGAAGAGGCTCTATCTAAGGTACAGGTTCATTCTATACGTTCTATTTGCCTTTGATATTCAACCCTATTCAATTAGAATGTTTGTTACATTTCATAGTAGAAGTTGGTATAATAATAAAATCTGGCTTGAATATGTACCTACAATGCCACTTTTCCAGCTTTGAAGTTCTGAAGTATCCAGCCAATTAGCTCTGTTTCGCTATAGAGACATTTGATCTGTGAGTGTATGTTGTACGAGAGAGACACACAGTGCGCGCACTCGCTCACCCCCACCCCTAGCTCGGTCCGGCAGTAGTACACCTCGACGTCGCTCGAGCGCGATCCACGCGTCAGTAACAAATAATAGGAGGTACGCTCCAGACGTCACCACCTATTATTTGTTGTTTTTGAAAAAAACCTATCAATCTCACTCTGTTTTACAGAGTTATCCGTTACTCGGTCTGTTATAATCATAACCCATTAAAGATATTAATTTATGCCGATTTAATGAACAACCACGCAATTTTCCTGTATCTAAGGAACTCATTAATGAATAGAATAATGGAGGAATAAATATTCGTGATTGCCACTAAAATATCATTAAAAACGATCTCAGCGATACGAAAAAATCAATCATTTTGTCTATTGTGTTCTAAAATTAATAATTGTCCGGCTTCTGTGATAAATCCGCCCACGGTCGGAATGGGTGGCGCGGGGTTGTGGCCACCCCCCCGCGCCCCCGCGCCCCTTTCTTGTGCTGGCTCTCTGATATCCTGCTGCTGCTCGGGCTCCAGTACCATACCCGATGGGGTACCGATCAGACATATCGGCACCGCATCTGGTATGGTATGCCAAAACCTTGTCATATTCACACAGTTACAGCCTGTGTCCCATTTACTACTATCGATAAATTGTTATAAATAAATTTTCTATATGTTTTTTATTTTATTTTTATTTTAACATCTGAAATTTCCGTAGAACAAGGAGACTAACAAAGATTTTTTGTAGGCATGAATAAGTAGACTAATTTCTGCACAATGCATTGTGTAGAAAAGCTACAGTACAGAACAGAACACTTCTAATTAAAATATCCACAGAACACATGACAGACAACATTTTTGGCGGTATTCGATTTGTACACAGTTTAGCTTTTTCTCATTCCGTGACACTTCCGACTGCACGGGTCGCTTCGACCCTTTAACGATGTTTTAATTGGTCCGATTGCTGGCAACCCTGTACTCTGCGCGTCATTCATTGTCCAGTGTTTACATATCACGAAGGATTTTATAACCCATAGGGAACAGGTGTTTCAATTGTTTATAAAACCATTATATTTGTCATGTAAGGGTTTAGGGTTCCGATTGATCGCTTATGGTGTTCCTACAGCTGGAGAATCGTAGCATAACATCTTGATACTTGTTCAATGTTCATACTTATGCTGCATATTAATCTAGTTTCACAAATATCTGGATCTCGTCCGTACCTAACTGATGCTTACGTTTCTAGTTGTATTCCTAATTATCTTAACACTGATTATAATCACTTTCAAAGCTGTTAGCACCCTTTAAGTATTTATTAGAGCAATCATTCATAAGTATTATCTGTGAGCTAAAACTAAAGTCACGGCAAACACTTTACAAAGCGGCACCTAATTAACTACCATTCGGGACATTAGCGCCATTATCGCTTAGTTTAGGAACTCATTATTATTGGCAAACTTGCGGCCTTCTGTCAAACAGTCCCACACCGCTCCGCACCTGCTTTGCTTACTACTTATATGTATTTGTATAGGTATAAATCGGGTTACTTAATTTTGTTTTCTTTATGAGGTACTTAGCTTTTACCCGCGGCTTCGCTCGCGTCACAAAAGGAAAAAAGCAGCCTGTGACGTAATAACATACAATACAATATACACAGCGCCATCTATACCAATACTTTTGTTTTCCCTCGGGAATATCACATGTTTTCCGGGATAAAAAGTATCTTATTATTTAATCCGGACTTCTGTAGTGTGTAGTGTATATCCTATAGTTCTAAGTTTGCATATATCAATGTATCTTACTCGTGTATTTAAATATCAACCTTTATTAATAAAGGGCCAGTATTCAATCAGCAGTCAGAGTGTTTTACTAATACCAATCCTTACATGGCGACCCTGCCAGGATTGGTATTGAGGTGTCGGGTTTGCAACGTGGGTGGTACAGACTCTTATTCTAAGTGTACGTTGCGTTATTGAACTTTCAAAACGAAATATTATAAAAAACTAAAAACTTTAAAATGTGCAATTCTTATACCCCAAAACGCGAAGAAGTGATTATAAACCAAAATGGCATTGGAGCTTCGAATGTGGCTGTTACTGAACAGCTACAGTTTCATCTTTCTGCGATCAGCATAGTGATGATGATAATTCTGGGGTTGTTGCTGATCTTGGCAGCCTATTTTCTGTACAAATGCTATAAGAACTGCCATCACCAGTGGATCAATGACCAAATCCTACGTCAATCTCTGAGAAATTCGACTTATCGGCGTAGTCGCAGGGAAACTACAGAAAGAAAACGATGCTCAGCGTGCTCGAGCAGTCCAGGACAAGGGCGTCCACGTAATAAAGAAGATGTCGGTGCGTAAACTACAGTGTGATACCAAGTGCGCGTATGTGTCGTGTAAAGTGAAACC